AAATCTGTTGGGCATTTTTTTTGGCTTTCGGGCAATAATTCTGATTGCTAACAGTGCCAGACAGGACAGACCAAAAAGTAAATAAATAAAATAAAATAAAAACTAAACAGAAACAAGCAAAACCACTCTGGATATGAATTGAAACTAAACTTAACTCAATTAAACAATAATTAAAAAAAAAACTAGTTAGAAAATACAGAACTATAACAATTTTGCAAGAAAGCTGATAAAATCCATCCATCCACCTTCTACTCATTATCCAGCTTTGAGTCATGGGAGAAGCCATATGAACACAGAGGCACAGATTTCCCTTACTCCAGCCACCTCTCCTCTCAGCTGAGAGATATGATCTCTCCAGTCATGGGTCTGCTTACTGGTAGGACATGTCCAAAACATCTTGCCTTGGAGGCTTCCAGGAGGCATCCCAGTGAGATGCCTGAACGACCTCAGTTGTTGAATAGTATCTGAAATATACTACTATCCAAAAATAGTATCTGAAACTTTGAACTGTCAGACCAAACCACGACAAACTGGTGGTTTGAATCCACCAGTCGGCTGGGACCTTTTTGTGGAGTCTGCATGTTGTCGATGTGCCTGTGTGGGTTCTGTCTGAGAACTCAGAAATTTCTCCCATGATCCAAAGCCAGGCATGTTTGATTGATTGGTGACTCTAAACAGGAGAAGTCAGGGATCAAACCACCAATCTTCCAAATGGTAGGTAACACTCTCTACCACACGTGCAGAGCCAGAGATATTTTGCTTTTGCTTCGTCCTCCTAGTCAAAATTTGGCACCAGAATTACCCAGAATGCAGCTCGGCATCTAGCAGAGTTGAGCAAAACTGGGGAACATTCAGTCCCACTGAGTCAGGTGAAATCACTTGAGGCAGTTCAGTCTTTGCTCACTTGAGGCAGTTCAGTCTTTGCTCAGCTCCCTGTGCAGTCATAAAAAAGCTGTATAAGCAGTAGTCGGCTACTCCCACAGACTTGTTAGCAGATTTCAATCTGCACTTTTATGTTATCCATAATTAGACTACAATGAATGACTGAAGAACTAATTAATATTAAATGGTCAGAGTCGACTCATAACTATCTTATATTGCCCATTTATCACATTATGTATTATGAGTGCTTGTGGACACTCTGGACTGAGGCACCTCTGTCCAGTCCGGCTGCCTCACTGAAGCACCACCCAGTGCTTCCAGACCCTGAATGGCTGCTTTGTGTCCAGGAAATGTTTGTGTGAAGATGTATTTTTTCATCAAAAATCTGGGTGAATGAAAATCATTGAATGGTATTAAAGTTGCAACGAAAACAGAAACAGGACTCTTGTTGTGTAACAGTTTGTTACCTTATGTCTCGCAGACTAATAAAGCAGCCAGCTCTACGGAAGTTATTCAGTAAATATACAACCAAAGGTCATCTCTGCAGAGCCAAAAGAAATCTGATAGTGACGGATAGTTACTGTTAGTGTTGTTCCTGACTGATGTTTTTTCCCTCCCCAGTCAGACATGACAGGGTTAGGTGGAAATTTGACTGAGTCATCCAGATATTTTACTGCTGATATACTCCATGATAAGTGAGCAATGTTTGCATTTCAGTCCTATTCTGCAGAACTGTTACTACAGAGGATTATTTTGGTGTTTTTGTTTGGTTTTTGAGAATATAGTAAAAACTTTTTAGTGACAATTTCCTCAAGCCCAAGTGTGTGCTTCAAAATCCTCCACGAGGCAAAAGGAAGACATTTTTCTAATGATGCATTTGAATACAGTTGTGTTTTATTCACTGTTTCTATAAACCAGCGATAAGGAACCATGAGGTCAAAGCAAGGATTTTCTTGCTCACATTTATTTTTCCAGACCATTGCTCCACTCAAAACTGAGGTCTGGAAACATGTCTGGAATCAGTTGTGTTACTGAAACAGCTGTGCATGTGCAGCTGTCCTGCCGACTCAGACCCAACTGTCCCTCACAGTCCCCGTCTGAGCTCCACCCAGTCTCCACATCGCAGAGCCTTTCCTCATTCGCTTCCCTGGAAATTCTGCTGGATTCTTGTGGCATTTTAACTGGCATACCTCGTGCTGCAGGCCCAAACACACATGGACACACACATGGCCACTTACATAAGGTTTCTCTTCAGTGGCAGGTTCGTCATTATGTCACAATTTCCTAAACAAATTCACAAAATTATATTTCTATTACCGCCAATGTATTTAATTATACTAGAAAACTGACCAACTTTTATATTATACACATTTAGCCAAATTCATAAAAGGGCTGTTTGTGTAGATATGATATATAGTATGACTTACAAACTGTAAAACCCTTAGCTAAAAATAGTTAAGTCCATAAGAATTTTAAATGTGATACCATGATATCACTAAATCATGAAAACAGGTCTCAAATCAAGCACTCAAGACGTTATGTAAGATTTTAAGCTTTAATTCAAGATGTTTGGCAAAAATCTTCCATTAGCTGTTTAATAGTTGCAACCATTTTTATGCATAGTCCCCTATTTTCAGAAGCTCAAAATTAATTGGCAGGTGATGTCTGTTCTCTCATTATTTCTAATTAAAAAAAATAAGGAGATAAAAGATCTGAAGTTTATTCCAAGTGCTGATCTAGCATGTGGTGGCTTTCCAGTGGACCACTGTATTTGAGGTCCAAAGAGATGTCGAAGTAAGTGAAGGAGGCCATCATTAGGCTCACAAATCCAAATAAACCCAATGAGGGCATAGCAGGAACTTTAGGAGTGGCCTAATCAAAAGTCTGATACGTCCTTAAAAGAAGGAATGCAGTGGCCAGCTCAGCAACAACAAAAGGCCTGAAAGACCACAGAAGACAATTAAAGAATTCTTTGCTTAGTCAAGAAATTCCCTTCACATTATCTAACCAAGTCAGGAACACTTTTGGATGAGCTCAGAATATTATTGTCCAAGTCTACAATGAAGGGATGCCTTCGAGAATAAAAATACAAATTTACAACAAGGTGTAATCTGTCGATACAACTCAAGAACAAGAAGGCCAGGTTAAACTTTGTCAGAAAACATCTAACAGAGGCTGCACAGGTGTGGAAAATGTCTTTGGATCAATGAAACGAAGAAAAAGTTGTACCAGAATGATAACAGAAAAGCAACAGGTCAGGATCTGAAGCATACCGCATTATCTGTCAAATATGGTGGTTATGTCATGTTCAAACATGACTGCCAGTGGAACCGGATCACTAGTGTTTGTAGGTGACTGCTTGAAGTTCGTCTGTCCATCCGTCCGTCCATCCATTCATCCATCCAGCTCAGGGTTGCAGGGGGGCCTTGGAGGTTATCCCAGCTGTCATATGGGAAAACCTGGGGTACACACAGGGCAAGTTGCCAGCCTATCACAGAGCCGCTGATAGAAGCAGCTGGGACTATAAGTGTTTGGGCCGATACGCTGCTCTGATTCAAAAAATGCTGCAAAACTGACCAAAAGCATCTTGCAAAAGCAACCCAAGAGTTTAAGTCAAAGAAAAGGGGTATTCATCAATTACTTTTTTATTATTAGTCTAGTCACCTGATCTCAGCCCCATAAAGCACAGTTCAGTTGCAAAATACAGAAAGACCCACAAATGAGCAGCAGCTGAAGGAGGCTGCAGTAAAGTCCTAGCAGAGCATCTCAAGGAAGGAAATGCAGCATTTGGGTAGTTGGTAGCTCAATTATTAGTATAGTCTGCAACCAGTTTCTTCCGTTAATATGGAATTTCAGTCACTCAACAGTTTTGGGGCTCTATTTGTGTTTCTTTATGCTCCAAATGCTTTCAGTGCGTGACAAGTTTGGACAGCGGACATAACAGTTTTCATGATCTTTCCTGATATTTCATTTTCTGCATTAATGGAACTTCTGAACAGATGCAGAGCTCCCGTGACACGAGCATGCCGACAGCCTCACAAATGCTCGATTTCAAACTGTGCGCCTCATCTTCAGTCCAAAGACAAGTGGTTTTCAGAAATGTTCCCATGCCAAGGATTTCTACTCCAGAATCATTTCTGGTTTTGATGCAGCTTTGCACGAGAGCCTGAACATCATGAACATTCAGTTTCGGTTTCTGCCCTACACCCATCTCTCTTTTTATATGTGAGATAATCCACCAGATGTTTGGTTTTACAGTGTTCTTTCATCCCCATCCTAACTTTCATTTCACAAATGTGTTATTTGTGTTTGTAGATTTAAAAAAAATGGTTTTCAAATGATTGCATTCTGTTTTTATTTACATTTTCAAGGACTGAAATAAAATGCCCATTTTTTTGCTGGCCAATCAAACATTTCTTGCACACTAACTCAGGGACAGGAAAGTAAGAAAGAAGCAGTTACTGAAAAGACAGGAAGAATGAAGCTTTTATTTTAACCTAATTCAATCATAAACTTTGGATGATCCCATATATTTGTTGTTAGTTTGAGTATGTTATAAAAGCCCTGGTAAATCCTCAAATACATTAATGCAAAGCTGGTAACAAAGCTGTTCTCGGTTCGTGAACTGTTTACGTTTTAGACATACTGTACATGTTTTCCACCGGACAGAGACCTGTAAATCCACAGTGTGCACACAAAGAGTGGAAATGGGAGGTAGTAGGAAAAACAAAGAGCTTTCCTTTGTTTGAAAGGAGTTCTTGTTCTGAAGGAGGACAGAAGAGCGGGCAGCAGGCAGGCAACAGGGGCTTTATTTTGACTTTCCTGTTTGATACCTGTGATTCCCCCCCCCCCCCCCCCCCTTTTAAAGAGGGCTGTACACCAGCTCCCATTCACACATCTGAAGGGAGATTCCTACTGGCTTCCTACTGTAGGAGAGGAGTGAAGGAGAGAGAGAGAGAGAGAACCCAGACAGTGGAAGAAGAGAGACAGAGAGACTAGGAGGTACAGAAGGACTTTTTGCTGCTGAAGGAAAAGCAGAGTTACTATGAAGCAGAAAATGGGACCGGCTGCGACCTCGCTCGCTCTGCTGTGTTTATGTTCTCTGGGAGTGTGTGTTCCTATGGGGACAGGCACCGCTGCACCAGCACAGGTCAGGACTTCATATGCTGTATGTGCTCTTTCTATTAGAGGCTGCTCTCACTGTCGTGCATTTTCTTAACTGTGATCTGCCATGCCTGTTTGTTAGGTTGAGACTCTGATCCCTTTCATATGTAGTAAATGTATATGAGTGACTGTGAGTGTTTCAGTGAATTAGGCAATTAAGACACACTAAGGCAGATTTTTTTGTTTTCTTTCTTTATCTTTATGTAAGAATAAAGTGGAAAACGTGATGCAATCTGTGTTGATTTATCTACTGTAAGTTATGATGTAATGGAAAGGACATGTGAAGAACTGATGATGACACACCCAGAGAAGCAGATCAACCAGACAGGTTTTTCTTTCATTGGACTTGTCTGTATGTGTGTTTGACTTCAAAATATAGCACCCCTCTCCCTCCACTATGCCATAAGCCACTGAAGGAACGTGCTGATACTTGTAAATATATTGCTGTTGTCGATCAAAGTCTACACCATGTGCCTTCCAGCTAAGATATTCAACTTTTAAATGGTAACATTTTATCCACTGAGCTCTTAAATCGAAAAATAAAGCGATAAACTTGGTTGAGCTCCTCTGTGTTCTATAATTGTAATAGGAGTAAAATTCTTGGCCTGACTTGATATTGATTGCTTCTGCTTTCTGCTATAAAGAAAATATGAATGTAAAACAGCTCCAGATGTGTCTAAACTGGAATTTGGATACAACCCTAATAAGTTTGTTTTGGGAAGAAAAGGAAGTTGGGTTTGGTTTTACTTTAACCACTAAAGCCAAGACACTAAACACACTTACATGTGATGGATTGGGAGTTTTATGTGTGTGTGTGTGTTCCATCAGGCATATGAACCAGAGGTGAAGAGGACAAGAGGCGATGTTCCCGATATTCTACCGGAACCTGAAGCAGAGCCAACCAGCCCAGTATCGGACTTTGAGAACTCATACAACTATGTCTGTATGTTATTTTAGAAATGTTGAAATTTGTGTTGGTTTTGGTCATACGAGTCAGAAATCTGTGATGTCACTCACCATCATGATAACTTTAAGCCTCATCTCAGCGAGGTATCTCCCTCAAGAGTTGATAGAGAGAAAAAAGAGATAAAAAGAAAAGAAACTCTAGGGGTGGGTGGGGAACCCAAATAGAAAATAGAAAATAAAAAGAGTACAGAGATAAGTTATGCTGACCACGTTGGTTGGTAGGGTGCATCCACAGACTGATGGCCGTATCATTGGACTTTCTTGACAGGCTGATTAAGGGCTTTTCTGTTTTGTTTCTGGAGTAAGAAGTGTCCAGATTTTGGAAAGTCACATATCTGTATGCCAGTAGCCTTCCTTTGTGTGTTCTCTTTCTTAAACAAAATAAAATATCATACTGTGCTTTCACTTCCAATCTACTCTGGCCCACAGTATCCAGACTGGCCGGTATGGACCAAGCCATCCACAAGCTGAATGTCGGTCACTACACTCTGGATGTTAAAGTCAGCCAGTTGATGGATCGTCTCTCCAGGATGGATGGTAAGACTGGTGATGGTGTTGATGAAACTGAAGAGTAGGGGTATTAATGCTGTACCATGGGAGCTTTTATTTTCGATTTAGATCTAATGGGAACAAAGCCTTTCGCTGTACCTACTTTTATGTTCCCCTCTTTCTCTTGCTCCTCATCACTCAAATGGCAGCTAAAGTCGGTGAGCTGGAGGACAGCATCCAGGAGGTCTATCAACACAGCAAGGACAACCGCAAGGAGATCGGAAGACTCGAAGGTACATGTGTATCATTTTTCCTTAGATCTACTTCAAGCATCCCATCCTGCACTGTGACATTTTAAAATAGACTAAATATAGTATAAATATAGATTTCTATTTTATGTTTTGTAGCGTTAAATTATTTGTTAAACTATCAGTAATGAGAAAATAGTGAGAAAAACATATATAAAATACACCTAAAAATTTCATTGGAGGATAAATACTAATTAACAGGGGTAATAAAATCTGAAGACCAGAGAAGGACAGTGGATACGTGCAAAAAAAAGGGAAGGCTGAATGGCAACATGGACACATGATGCAACATGCAGGAACTAACATATCAACTGTTCAGTAATATGCAAATAAACCTGTTTGTATCAACAAGGTGTGTTGAAATTTTACAGCATTTCTGTCAACT